AAGTGATCACTCCAGGGGAGTGATCACCCGGCAGCCTGGCAGTGAGGGGGAATTGCTCTAATTCACCGCAGATGTATCAGGTATGTTGCAGTCCTTAAGGACCATTTTTTTGTCGGACGTACCTGATACGTCCGAGGTTGGGATGGGGTTAAATGAAGTCCAAGTGAAATGGGATTATTTAAAAGTTGTACTACTTAAGGCAACAGAAAATTGCATTAGGCTTGTCAAAAAAAGCAAAAAAAATTAAGAAACCACTGTGGTACTCCACAGAAGTGGTCAAAATAATAAAAAACTAAAAGTTAGCATTTAGTAATTATAAAAAAAATCCAGAGTGAGGAAGATAGATAGATCTATACAATTAGACAGAAAGAGGCTAAGTAAGTTATAGGAGCTTCCAAATCACACACAGAAGAGAAATAGCACAGTCAGTTAAAAAAAACAAAAAAGGGACAAAACATTTTTTAGATACATAAATGAGAAAAGGAAAGTAGAACAAGGATTAGTTAGATTAAAAACAAAATAAGGAAGGTATGTAGAAGAGGATAAAGGTCTAGCTGACTACCTCAATTAATGTTTTTGTTCGGTATTTTCAGATGAAAATGAAGGAAAGGGACCTCAGTTAGGAAAAATAACAAATTAGTAATTTGTTACATGTGAGATTACAGAAGAAGAGGTTCTATTTCAAGTGTCAAAAGTAAAGACAAACAGGTCAATGGGGCCAGATGGAATACACCCAATGTTATTAAAAGAGCTTAGTGGTGTACTGGCAAAACCATTACCAGATTTATTTAACCAATAATTATTAACAGGAGTAATCCGAGAAGATTGGAAGTTAGCGAATGTTGTGCCCATTAACAAGAAAGGTAGTAGGGAGAAGTCGGGCAACTATAGGCCAGTAAGCCTTACTTCAATAGTTGGGAAAGTAATGGAAACCATGTTAGAGGATAGGATTGTTGAACATTTAAAATCACATGGATTTCCAGATCAGAGACAACGTGGGCTTACTTTAGGGAGATGATGCCAAACTAATCTTATTGAGCTTCTTGGGTAACTAAAATAATAGATCAGGGTGGTGCAGTAGACATTGCTTACCTAGATTTCAGCAAGGCTTTTGACACTGTTGCACATAGAAGGATTATCAATAAACTGCAATCTTTGTGTTTGGATTACAATATTATTGAATGGGTAAGGCAGGGGCTGAGTGACAGGCAGCAGAGGGTTGTAGTCAATGGAGTATATTCACGGTCTTGTTACCAGTGGGGAATCTCAGGCAAATGTACTTGGACCCATTCGCTTTAATATTTTTATTAGTGATATTGCAGAAGGTCTTGATGGTAAGGTATGTCTTTTTGCTGATGATACTAAGATATGTAACAGGCATGATGTTTCAGGAGGGAAAAGCCAAATGGCAAATAATTCAGGTAAACTAGAAAAAATGTCAGAGCTTTGGCAGCTGGCATTTAATGTGGATGTGTGCAAGATAATGCATCTTGGATGTAAAAACCCAATAGCAGAGTATAGAATATTTGATAGAGTCCTA